TGAGGCTAGTGGTGTTGTGGAGAGAGGCACTGAGACTAGTGGTGTTGTGGAGACCGGCTTGGAGACTATGGTGAGGCCTAATAGAAAGCAGTTGTTGTTGGGTGATTCCATTATAAGAGGTGTGGAGATGAACCATGGTGGTCTTGTGAGGTGTCTTCCCGGAGCTACTGCTCACAGAGACAGGAGACGTATCTGTAATATTGTTAAGCAAGCAAAGCAGGAAGGGGAATTGGATGTACTTGTCCATCTAGGGACAAATGACTTGGCTTGCAATGAGGTTTCAGAGGTTAAGGAAGTTTTTAGTGTTTTTGCCAATGATATACGGCAGGTTGCTTCCACACTGTCATTCTCTGAAGTTCTGCCTGTGCATAACACTCAGAACGACAGGCGGATGCGTATTAGGGACTTTAATTTGTGGCTTGGTGAATGGTGTTGGGAGCAAGGATTTGGCTTTATTTCTCATGGTAGCTCTGTTTGGAATGGAGATAAGCTGTACAAAAAGATGGTTTGCATCTTTCTCAAAAGGGAACAAATGTTCTCAGTGAGCAGTTCAGAGGTTTTGCTAGGATGTATTTAAACTAGGAGGGGGGGGGGCAAAAGGGTGATAAAACATCAATCCAATTGTCCCCCAAAACAAGGACAGAAGGTGCCTGTAGCAAGTGTGTTAAAAATGATAAGCTTAGAGTCATGTCTACAAATGCTCGCAGTTTAGGGAATAAGATCCATGAACTTGTGGCAATAATGGCAACTGATAGTGTAGATTTAGTCGCTGTTACTGAGACAAGGTACAATGAGAAAAATGACTGGGACAATACCAGGGTACTCTTTATATAGGAAAGATAGGGAAGGCAAGAAAGGGGAAGGGGTGGCCTTGTATGTGAAGGATAGCATAAAATCTAGCCTAATAAAAGTTAGTGAGGCAAACATAGAGTCTGTTTGGGCTACGTTAGAATTTGGTAATCACACAGTAACTTGTGTAGGTGTGATTTATAGGCCCCCAGGACAAATTAAAGAGTTAGATAATCTACTAGTTGAGGAAATAGCTAAAATGACAATGAAGGGGGAAGTTATCATTATGGGTGACTTTAATCTTCCTGATGTAAATTGGAAAACAAAATTAGCTACTTGTGCCAGGAGCACACATATTCTTAACTCCCTACTGGGATTGTCTCTAAAACAAGTTGTTGAGGAGCCAACTCGTAAAGAGGCCATACTAGATTTAGTGTTAACAAATGGAGATTTGGTATCAGATGTTACTGTAGGTGAAAGTTTAGGATCCAGTGATCATCAGTCAGTGTGGTTTAATATAAGAACCACACAAAAACAAAAGTTTTAGACTTTAGAAAAACAGACTTTTCTAAAATTAGAATATGGGTAGAGGAGTCATTATCAGACTGGAGCAATTTAAATGGAGTCCAAGAAAAATTGGATTATTTAAAAGTTGCACTATTGAAGGCAACAGAAAATTGCATTAGGCTTGTCAGTAAAAGCAAAAATTCAAGAAACCACTGTGGTACTCCGCAGATGTGGCCAAAATAGTTAAAAACAAAAAGTTAGCATTTAGGAATTATAAAAAAAACCAGAGTGAGGGAGACAAAATGATCTATAAGATTAGGCAGAAAGAGGCTAAACAAGTTATAAGAGCTTCCAAATCACACACAGAAGAGAAAATAGCACAGTCAGTAAAAAGGGGGGATAAAACATTTTTTAGATACATAAATGAGAAAAGAAAAGTAAAACAAGGATTAGTTAGATTAAAAACAAAAGAAGGAAGGTATGTAGAAGAGGATAAAGGTCAGGCTGACTGCCTCAATTAATATTTTTGTTCTGTATTTACAGAAGAAAATGAAGGAAAGGGACCTCAGTTGAGAAAAAGGATAAATGAGTCATTTATTACACGTGAGTTTACAGAGGAAGATGTTCTATTTCAACTGTCAAAAGTAAAGACAAATAAGTCAATGGGACCTGATGGAATACACCCAAATCTATTAAAAGAGCTTAGTGGTGTACTAGCAAAACCATTAACAGATTTATTTAACCAATCATTGTTAACAGGAGTAGTCCCAGGAGATTGGAAGTTAGCGAATGTTGTGCCCATTCACAAGAAAGGTAATAGGGAGGAGTCGGGCAACTATAGGCCAGTAAGCCTTACTTCAGTAGTGGGGAAAGGGATGGAAACCATGTTAAAGGATAGGATTGATGAACATCTAAAAACACATGGATTTCAAGATCAGAGACAACATGGGTTTACTTCAGGGAGATCATGCCAAAACTAATCTTATTGATTTTTTTTGATTGGGTAACTAAAATTATAGATCAGGGTGGTGCAGTAGACATTGCTTACCTAGATTTCAGTAAGGCTTTTGACACTGTTGCACATAGAAGGCTTATCAATAAACCGCAATCTTTAAGTTTGGATTCCAATATTGTTGAATGGGTAAGGCAGTGGCTGAGTGACAGGCAACAGAGGGTTGTAGTTAATGGAATATATTCGAAGCTTGGACCTGTCACCAGTGGGGTACCTCAGGGATCTGTACTTGGACCCATTCTCTTTAATATTTTTATTAGTGATATTGCAGAAGGTCTTGATGGCAAGGTATGTCTTTTTGCTGATGATACTAAGATATGCAACAGGGTTGATGTTCCAGGAGGGATAAGCCAAATGGCAAATGATTTAGGTAAACTAGAAAAATGGTCAGAATTGTGGCAACTGACATTTAATGTGGATAAGTGCAAGATAATGCATCTTGGACGTAAAAACCTAAGGGCAGAGTACAGAATATTTGATAGAGTCCTAACCTCAACATCTGAGGAAAAGGATTTAGGGGTGATTATTTCTGATGACTTAAAGGTAGGCAGACAATGTAATAGAGCAGCAGAAAATGCTAGCAGAATGCTTGGTTGTATAGGGAGAGGTATTAGCAGTAGAAAGAGGGAAGTGCTCATGCCATTATACAGAACACTGGTGAGACCTCACTGGGAGTATTGTACACAGTACTGGAGACCGTATCTTCAGAAGGATATTGATACCTTAGAGAGGGTTCAGAGAAGGGCTACTAAAAACTGGTTCATGGATTGCGGGATAAAACTTACCAGGAAAGGTTAAAGGATCTTAACATGTATAGCTTGGAGGAAAGACGAGACAGGGGGGATATGATAGAAACATTTAAATATATAAAGGGAAATAACACAGTAAAGGAGGAGACTATATTTAAAAGAAGAAAAACTACCACAACAAGAGGACATAGTCTTAAATTAGAGGGACAAAGGTTTAAAAATAATATCAGGAAGTATTACTTTACCGAGAGGGTAGTGGATGCATGGAATAGCCTTCCAGCTGAAGTGGTAGATGTTAACACAGTAAAGGAGTTTAAGCATGCATGGGATAGGCATAAGGCTATCCTAACTATAAGATAAGGCTAGGGACTAATGAAAGTTTTTAGAAAATTGGGCAGACTAGATGGGCCGAATGGTTCTTATCTGCCGTCACATTCTATGTTTCTATGTTTCTATGTTTCTATTATTTTGGTTATAATTCATTGATGTTAGTTTGAAAAGCATGGACCAAAATGGCTTATTTTTTTTACGGATTACATCAATGCAGTTGACACTTGCAAGTCGTTTGAGAACTAGACCTTTTCTATTCTGAACAGCAATGCATCAATCAGGTGATCATTTAATTTTGTGTAATCAAGAAAAAATGGATTCCAATCATGAACCAAACTAATTTGCTCATTTTGAATTTTGCCCATGGCACCAAAAAAAGAGATGGTTAATGGGACAGTCACAAAATGTCAATTTTATTCACAGATCAGAGAAGTGAGCAATACAGGGAAAAAAAGGAAGAGCAGTAGAAAAAGTCTATATTTATATATTATATACTTAAATGGCAGGAAAGGCTCTTTCGTGCTATGCAAGTCATATCTACAATATTTATATTTATATATTTTGCAGCACACTAATTGAAGCATTTTTGCACCCTTTTGGTTTGTCTAAATTGTTTCTCAAATCGGTTTTCCGTTATCAACATATGGCCGTCACCAACTTTTTAATTTTTATTTTTGTATAAATGATTTGGCTTAAACTCATTTTCTCACAGTGCACAAGGCTACTGAGAATTCACCAAACCTCAAAAGTGTTTTGTAGGTTCTTCTCCAGGAACAGATATATCAAATAATTTTATCCATGTGAATGCATATATTCATCAGCTCAAAGAATTCCTCCTATCCAACATGTTCCATATTTTTTAAAATGTATAATCTTTTACACAAATTTCCCTTAATAATTCCCAACTATTGTGAACTTCATATACCTCCCTCATTTTCAAACAGTATCAACATGTACCTACAATCACTCTCCCATCTGAAGTTAAAAGATTATACTAACAGTTCAAGATGCTTGCTCTCTACTCATATCAGATTCCACCCCACTCCTTCCATATCCAAACATGTTGTTTAAAAAAATAAACATGAGACCTAATTATACATTTTATTTTACATGTATTAAGTAGAAACTTTTAAAAAATCAACACGAGACTTAAATATACATTTTCTTATACATTTATTAAATAGATTTGACAGAATGTATCTTATTTTACCGTCTCTGCTATGGCAGAAAAAGACCTAGGGATCCGAAATATATCTTGAACATCAGACATATTTGGCCAGAAAATCGCCACGTCGTGGGGTACCTCTGGACTCATGAAGAGTTATCCTTCAGCACTCAGTAAAGGAAAAAAACCCTGTGGAGGAAACATCTGGGGAACCATAGCTTGAAGGATTGCCCTACCCTCTGGGCTTTAACAGGCAAGTGCATGATTTTTTTATGCAGTGTTTAAACTGACAGACAGACAAACATAATTGCAGGAAGGGGGAAAGACAGACCTACAGACACAAGGAAAAACAGACAGGCAGGCATACAGATCAACAGACAAACAGAAAGATTAACTATTTCAATTGATGCACAGACAGGCAGATGAGAGGAAAGAAGGCAGACAGGCAGGAAATGAGTCAGATCGACAGGCAGCACGACATTCAAATAGAAAGATATACATACGATAGGTACTTTTCCCCAACTCCTTCCATGTTGCAATCTTCCCAAAGCAGCTTGAAAAGCAAATAATGATGCTCATTCTCTTTGAAGAAACTCCAGCATCTGATAAAGGGTATATGAGTAGTCTAGCCGTGCTAGAGCCTCCATTTGTCCAGATCAAATTGAGAGTTGTACGCTCCAAATCTTCAGACACATCCAGTAAAGGCATAGATGCCTATGACAATGAGATGGTACAACAACTCTAGATACAGTTGTGAAGCTCGGTCAGAGCCTCACATACATCTAGGAGGTTGACAGAATATTCAAGCAAGAGTAGCTGCTTAACATTTATGACATCACAGCATGACATCATAGCATGGTATCAGCATGGCATCATCTTCAATGGTATCACTGCTAAGGATCACTGTACCTAAGCAGGACCAGATTAACATAGGGGTTGATGTAGCTGTAGCTCCAGGTCAATGCCTATGAAATAAGCCCACTGATTTAAATATATAAAAACAAGTAGCAAGAGAGGTAAAAATGGACAACAGCTCAATTAGCCTGCCCTTTGGTGGATCCCCGCTCAGATCTCAAGCTGGTTTTAGCTCATCGTGTGCCATTACAGAGAGAACATATCTGAAGCATATCAGACTGGTCCCAACCGTACAGGCAGTCCAGATCTAAAATGCCAGCAAGTTCTCTCTGCACGAGAGATACAGCAACCCCAGATGAACGTTTCAACCTTGTAAGGTATCATCGGTGATCTATAGCCAATATCCCTCTAGGCACCGTGAGCAAGGGGTCCACGTCTGGATTGCCCTTTACACTTAAGGAGAGAAAAACAAGTTGCAAGAGAGGTGAGAACGGACAACAACAGCTCAATTATCTTGCCCTTCGGTGTATATATATATATATATATATATATACATATATATATATATAATATATATATTTTTTTACTACACTTCACATGCTCTTGCTTAAGTATGGAAACCTAAGAGGGAAGTAGGGGAACAAAACTTGTGTGGGCTAGCTGACAATAAAATTAGTTATGGTACAGCTGACTTTGCGCACTATGCAAATGCTCTTGCTGCTACAGTCTCTCTAACACTGTGGCATGTGCACTTTCTTCTACATTCACTACATACACCTTTTCTCAGTCACAGACTAAGGTAAGGAGAGGAATGGACAAGTGAGTGCTAGGGGGCAGTCCTTAGAAAGCATGGAGCGAGTGCATTAGTAGACACATTTATGCCAAGTTCAGGATGTTGTCTAAATAGTATGCCCTTAGTTGGCCAGCCTGCATGATTGTCAGGCAGCCTGACATGCAATTCTTAAGGCAGACACGCCCCCTTTTTGAGCATGGTTATCTCTGTGGGTGGTTCTGGTTACGCGATTTGCATCAGTGGCCCACCCTTTTACGCCTCTCACCGACATCCTGCTTCACCAGACAATGCTGTTAGGGAGTATGGATTAACTTGAAAGATGAAAGCGAGAGATTAGTATAGGGTATGTGTTTTCTTACAGTTGCATCCTGTGAGCTTCCCTCCAGCATCACCTCTGCTGTTTTAGTGTTTTCTGTCGACAAGATTCTGTAATTAGGCCAATCATAATTGTCAGCACCAGGGCTGAGCATTAGGAGCATCAGGCTCTTAATCTGGCCCTGTTTCTAAGTAGAAGGGTAGACAGGTGGAAGGGAGAATTTCAGAATTATACATATAAGTGGGGATTGCCATAAAAATGGAAAATTCAAAATTGTGTTGTTTGTATTTCTTTTTGTCTACCTGATATTTATTCCAGCTCACATGCGTGCTCTGAAAAAGAAAAAAATGTATTCTATGATATAGTTGTAGTTTTATTATGCACTGCGTATGTGACTCAAACTAAATTCCATGAATATGCTAAATTTGTCTTAATTAAACTCACAGCAATATGAATGTATATCTGGTGTGCCAACATGCATTATATAAACACAATCTGTCATTACATAACATTTTGGCAATGGTATAGAGACAAATGGAGAACTTGAAAATAGATAGATGACTATGGATTTAAAGAATGCATACAATAAAAAAATGGCGTTGATAGAAATATATTCTGGACTTTGATGCCATTTGCTCAATGTTTTCTTCTTATTCCCAATTTGTGTTCTATACTGTAGCATTTCCTTTGAATTTTAGTTGTTTAATTCTGCATTCCCATATGAGACTTGTGACATAACAGTTGCTGGGCACATACTTTTCTTCTCATCCCAGTAACTCAAAGGCCCCTTGTTAACAAACAAAATAGTTTCAGGTGAGCTTATCCATTTCAGAGGCACTGTTCTACTTTTGACTGTTTGCGGCTTCAGTTGCTCCCACCAAACCAACAACAGCATTACAATGCCACTGATTTTGGGTTATGAGACAATAGCAACATGGTAGGTTCAATGCACACACCTTTCTCAACCAGTATGCCCTTTTGCCATGTTAATAAGTCGGGCTGTTTGATTGGAGTTTCCCAAGCTAGCATCAGTTCTGGGCAATTAGCAACTTATTTGCTCAGATGAACATTAAGTTGATCTTTCATCTTTCTGACCACAGTTGCTACATCAGTGTGGAGGGTGTAACCAGGAAGTTCCCTGTTTCCAAGGCACGGAAGGCACCCATCATGTTTATGAGGTAGGTAAACAAGGGGATGACTTGTCCTAAACAAGGTCTGTCATGTCCTTAAATTGAGTAAGAACTGCCACCAACTGCCCTATTATTGTCCAATCCTCACGACACTGTGGGGAGTCAATGCCAATGGAGTGGTATGAAGCTTCAATAGGGATTGCCCTTCATCACTTCAGCATGTAGCAGGAGAGATTGACAGCCGTGCTACCCAACTGATCCACTCCCACCCTGACATGCTGGTAAGGTTGGAAATCATCAACTGCCACCACCATGCACAGTAATCGGAGATGGCACCAGTGTGCTGTCAAGGAGAGGAAGACATGCTGGTTACTAGGAGCACTCCATAAATCTGTGGTGAAGTGCACCCACTGACCTACAGCCTTAGCCCCAGCTGTTCTTTCAATAGAAGCATACAGGAACAGTACAGTGATGTACCATTTTACTTCTGAAAGTGAACATTTTTCACACTAAAAGCCTGCATCAACTGCTTACAGATCTTCCCTTCAATCATAGAAAGGAAGCTCCTCCTGGAACCCCTGTCCACACTGCTCTGACTAAGGATGTTAGTAGTGGAGGGAGTGCCTCTGGTGTTAGCTGGTTGTACAGACTCAGTTACAGCGCCAGTGAACCTGTTACTTTAGATCAGCACAAGTGAGATAACCCTTCATTTTCACGCCACACACTTTCTTGTTGCACAATTTGCACTTTGCATTTTCACTTTAGGTAGGCTGAAAAATTTATGCTTTGCTTCATCTTGATCTACTAGCCTTTGCTTCAGCATGATCTACTTACTTCAACCTTTTGTCTTCGGGTTGATGAAAATGCAGGTGGATTTTCATTTTTGGCAACTGTCTCACCAATAGCATTTGGTTAACTAATACTAATGGGAAGTTATTGTAGGGTGCAGATTGTAGGGTGCAATAACAGTGAACTGTTGCCTCTTCTCTCTGGACTCTCCTATTCTAACTTCTTTGTCTTATAGTCGATTTTCTCCTGGACAGACTTAAACAAACATCTGGAGTGGGAGAGAGCAATAGCATCATCACTAAATTCTTGTGTACTCTGTTCTACCTCTTCAGTAAAGAATTATTCTAATGGTACCAAAAAAATCTCGGCCAAGATCTCCCTTAGTTGCTTCTTGGGGAAAGGAGGGGGAAAACAAATAATGGCAACAGATCCACTTATTTTACCGATATCTTTCTCTGAGCACCATAAAACACATAAGCTGTAATGCTTAAACTAACTATGCTAATGGCGGGTTTTCTTTTCTTATTACAATACATTTCAAATATGAATTATGTATTGTGTAAACTAAGACAACTGTATTCACCAAAAATAGGTGTGTGTGTTGCCAAATTGGCTGGTGTATAATGGATTTACTACTGCAGTGTTATTGTGTTTAACGTTAAGAAACTGCACAGTGCTACCCTGCTCACACATTTGCACAGCATATGCTGAACTGAACATATAAAAAAAATGTAATAAATACAATTTCCTCCAGACAGTTACCAAAAAAATATAGACGTTATAACAACTGTATATTGGGATATAGGAAAGCTAGTATAACATGAGGATCAATGACAAAATATCTGCCAATCTCCTATCTCCAACTCAAAGTTGTTTCAAGTGTCACAAGCTGCTTGCAAGATACAGCAAAGACTGCTAAACTTAGTCTCACACCAGAATCAATAAATAAGACTATCTTCCATTTAACCTTTGCTGGCATGGCAAAGGTATACACACAGAATCACTGCTGGTCTGTCTCCCTCAATAGCTGAAGTCAAAGTATCTAGAATTTGTTTTTCTACATCTTGAATCCACAGGCCAACATGATTGTGCAGACCTCTGTTCCATCATGGGAAACAAAGTAGCTTATTTCTATCCACCCCCCAAAAAACAAAACGAAAAAAAAAAAAACAGCATTTCATACCTTTGGTGCCAGAAACGGCACTCAGATCAAGAAGTGAGCCGCACATGTTTGGGCTCACACGAGTCAGTTCTCCCAAAATTCTGGCAAGTAGCGGATTGGAAATTAGAATTTCTACTGATCACCCAGTCAGTAGAAATTCCCAAATTAAGGCAAATTTGGCTGTATTTCAGTTCAATCCAAAATATATGTCCAAGTCTACTTATTATTATTATTATTATTACTTGAGAAGGGTATACAATGGTTTAGAAAAATGAAACAAAATAATGTATTATCTTTCAGAATATTGAAACAGCTGTTACAGAGCATCTTTTATTTCAGCGCTTGCTGTTTCCTGACATTTTTTCAAGGTTTTCTCTTTCTTTTGAGAGTGGGGGGGAAGGTATGTGGTATTTCGGTGTGCCAATTGCAGCAGATAAAATGGAAGGGCCTGTGGTGACCCTGACTTATTCAGGTATTTAAATTAACACAGTTGAGATTACTTTTGGCCTCCCAGGGACAAATGGGATGCCTTAGTTACTTTGATATGCAGGGTGAAGGTTTCTGCAAAAGTGCAGCTGCACGTGTTGATATCTTTGGTGGTGCATTGGAATTTTGCTTGTGGCGTCTTTCCCATGAGGAAGGACCTTTATCTCCTTATATGTATAGAATGAAGTGAACAGTGCCATGAAAATCCTCAGGTGTGGCCAAATATGACACCAGGCAAGGGAACAGTAGAATAAGTATTTAGTGCAGTAAGGTGGATATTGGTTGGAAATAAAGAAAGAGATGCACTTACAGTGTGTAAGTTTTACTTTTATGCGCCTGGGTGGTGCATTCCCTGTCTGAGGATGTAAGGTGTATCTCTTGGTCTAATGAGAGGTGGCAATATGAACATAATATATAACAATACAGTGTAGTATTTTTGGTGTTACAAATGGAGAGGATATTGTATATGACTTTAGATATATTCACATTTTATGGGACCCAGAAATGGCTCCCAATATATAGTGTGAAGTGGTACATTCCTCACTGTTGGATATCTTGGTGGTTGTGGTCCTCACTGTGATGTCATATTAATAAAAACAGAAATAAAATATAGTGTCAACTGTAATTAAAATAGGGAGGTAAAACCCTGAGTGTGGATGAGGACAAATATGCTCAGGACTACCCTGCTGGAGAATATGTGAATATATGTGAACAGATCTGTTTCTGTGCCTTCCTTTTTTCTTTTTCTACTTTGTAAACTATGGTACTTTGTACTTCTTGTTCTCAGTTCCTACACAACATAAATCTATTTGGCATCTGTTACAGCTGGAATACAAGCTAG